AACACGCTGCCTCTGGCCTGGGATTTGAGCCTTTGTAGTGCTGATTGCTGAATAGCATTAGCGATGTTAATGGGACATTTAACTAAACTTTTGATGTATTTTAAGACTCCATGTAAAAGCGCTGCTTGTAAAGAGGAGTCAAAGTGAGGTCATCACCAGCCGACGGTAGAGAAGTGACACAGACAACAGCCCTATAGTGGTAATAAGGGGTAACTACGCTTTGATCTGTTTCACATGGTTAGCATTGTTTTTCAGATTAGCATTGCTGTATGTTCCTTATATACAGGACTAATGGATGAACTTACTCATTAGCAGAGACATTTTTGGGTCATAGTAACATAAGAGAGTAAAAACAGCTCAGTTTCCTTTAAGAACATCGCTAGCTAGCTAGCTCATTCAGAAGACAAGATTGTCTTATCATACGTTTCTGTATTATAACCCAAAGCAAGAAACATTTTTTAATACTTTTTTTTCTTTTAGTTACATGAAGCTCTTTCTAAAATAATTTTATTGTCACACAGGAATTTAAGGTGGATTTATTATTTTGAGTATATAAATTCAACGGTTAAAACTGACTGGTCGATTTCTCCGATGCTACACTGCTGTGTGTTTTCTTGCGTGTGCAATTTATTTAATATTGGAGTTGGAAGTGTATTCAAAGGTAAATGTATTTTCCTTTGTTTTCTCAGGACAATTAAGATAATCTACTAAGAAACTGTAAAACTGTTAGCTGCAGTAAAAACTACATTTAACAAATCTGTTTGTAGTTTGGTTTGAGGTTGAGGCATAAAAACTCAGAAGATTTTTTTTTTCATTTTTAGGGGAATATGACATGCGGCTGAAAGTGATTTATGTCACTCTCTCCTCTGCGTCTCTTACATTTTCAGGAAAGCAGACGGCCGTAACAGTAAATGACAGCTTTAATAAAACTTACACTGCAACACAGCAAAATCAGAGCCGTTAGGATTTCTGCCCCTCACAGCAGAAGCAGAACACTGCAGTGAAATACGTTTTTGATGATTTAAAAAAAAAAATGTATATCAGCATAATTCAGCAGTTCTCTATATACATACATACATATACAGTATATATAGTGGAGTCAGTATTTTCAGGCAGAAATTGGATCCAACCCATCTCCACCACATTAACATTTAACATTTGTACATTTTTTAAAATGCTACAGGCAGAAGTAATAGGGAGGAAATAAAAACTAAATGAATTAATTACGCAGGGCCCCGGGAAACTGTGGGGTCTTTTATCATTTATTTTAATACAAACAAATAAATTAGAATTACACGCGCAGTAATTAGTCTTTACCTACTTGATAAACACACTTGGAAAAAAAAAATGTAGGTTTGCTTTGAGATGCCTTCAAATAAGCATGCAGTGATTCAGAGGTTCAGTAAAGTGTGATGACACGCCAGCATATCACAAGTAAACAGACGCAGAGTTTAATTTACTGGGACTTATGTACGGAGGACATGGATGGCTGCAGTCATAACATGTTGAATTATTATTATTATTATTATTATTATTATTCAAAAGGATAGACGAGTTCCATTAAACACGTTCTGAAAAGGCTACGTTCACACTACAGGTCTTGTTGCTCGATTGAGGTTTTTTTCGCTGAGACCCAAATATGGAAGTGACACACGTGTAGGAAACTGTTTAAGTAAATAATGCCAGTCAATTTGATGACTTAATCACAGGGTCCTACGGCGTTGTCTCCTCAAGGATGGGTGAGAGAGAGATCAGATACAGGTCACACATGTCAGATCTTGGACCTGCTATGTGACCATATGTGAGGTCTGTAACTCTGCCTTTATCTCTCTCTCTCTCTTTCTGCCTTTGACTCACTCTCACTCTCACATTGTTCTATTCCTTCCTCTTTGGGAAAAACACTGTTCACACCACACACATAGATCCAATCAATTTGTCTAAAAATATCTGCAGTTACTGCGAGTGTATCCTCCGATATCTTCTGTCAAGCGCTGCAGACGTGGTTCTGTTTTGTCATTAAGGTTCGTCTTCACTGTCAGACACACACTCTCCAGTGTTAACACACACACATACACACACACACACAGCCCTGTTGGTGGATATCTATGTGATTCTATGAAGTATTAGGGTTATTAACAGGTGAAGTAGCTACAGTAGAGCAGATGTTGTGTCAGAGCTGGTTTGTAGTGGGTAGAAACTCCTTCTGTTACGTCCAGCTCTGGTCAGACTCCATTGGTGTAAGTACGTTTTTTAAGCTCATTTCTGGTTTACAGCTGAGCACCGACGAAAACCACAGAATTGCTAAAGGGAGCAGTATGCATACCTGGTCTCTAGGTGGTGCTAAATACACATATGAGAGCCCTGATTCATGATTATTATCATTGTGTCGTGAAGTGTTTTATATAAATCTAATCAGATTGTTTATTGGTGAGCTAGCATCTAGCATGTTGGCGGAGTTTTAGCAGCGCACTAGCATGTAAGAAATAAGGAACCTAATTGCAGACACTAGCGTAGTGTGTAGTGTATTAGCAGCATGGTAGAAAACACTAGCATGTAGCTGCTAGACTAGTACAGTAACTTATACTAATTCCAAACATTTAGCCCCACACGGTGGTCACAGTAAATGCTACAAGTGTCTACAAAAACGTTTGGGCCTTTGGGTGCTTCTCAAAGTTTGAAGGCAGCTCAGCTAAAAACAACTTCTAACCAGAAAGTCACAGCTGGCATGAGTCCAGGAGACACTGTCCTGACACCAAACACTGTACTCACTGAATCACAGTTTCAGCTCGGCTCATGTCATTTACATTAGCCACAAAATGTACACGTCGCCACCGCTTGGAACAAAAATACTACCCGTCGTCTCTGTCATTATCTCAAGTAAGTCTGGAGAACCAGTGATTGTAGAGTTTTTGTGCCATGAATGAAAATATTATCACACCAAACATAAGACAGAACATAAACCCAGAGAGTCTTCTTCACGAGTAAACAGCAGGCGTCATAAATATTTTATCTTTCTCTGCTGTATCACCTGTTCTGAATAGGTCTCTCCGTCGACAGTATCATGGCTTTCCACATATCATGGGAGATCCACCCCCGCAGCAGGTAATACTATCGACACGGCCGTTCCACCGCACGTTCAGCACTGTATATTTGCCAGGTTTATGGTCTAAATTGTGTCATTATTGCTATACCATGTGAAGAAGAAGGGAAAAAAAACCCTAAGTTTAGGTGCAGTGCTGCAATCCCGAATACTCAAGGAGAGGTTGCCATGGAAACAGAGTTACATTGGCCAGAAATGAAAGCGTCTGAGGATTTAGACTTTCACTGTACATCAATTTTTAACCATAGATTGTTTTTACATCAGCCTCTCCACCGGCTTCACATCATCACGTCTGTGAACTACCAACCCGAGCGTCAGGCGCTCAAAGGATCGGAATCTAGACCGGTTTGACAAAGACAGCTCCAGGTAATTGCAGGTTAATTAAATGTACATCACAATCACTGCCACCGAGGAGAAGCATGTCACATGTAACTAATTTCACGTCATGTGTTAATCTGATGTGAAATTAAATAAAGTGGGATTACATCAGCAAAAAAGAAAGAAAAAAAACGTTTGAAGGAAATAGGTTTTCAAACACTGAGCTCATTATCTTTCATTCATTTTAAATTACGTATCGCATAAAAGAAATGTTTAAATCTACATTTATTCAAATTTCTAAACCTAAAGCCTTTTTAATAATAACCTACTGTACAACCGTTTTATAGTCTTTTCCTGTAGTTCTCCTTTTTTTTTTTTAACCAACTTTTATTCAGTAACTTTGACAAATTTCTGGTCCATGTTTGATTATATTTTGGCAAAACTCTGGTTTTGTTTTTGTACATCTTCACTCACTTGAAGCTATTTTAGCTCAACTACTTCTTATTTTCTGAAGTTATATCTTTTAACAACCTTAACTTCAAAGGCTAATACAGCATTTTATTTTATTTTCAATTTAGTTTGGCTAACCTAGCTCATCTTTAGCTATGTTTTGCTAATTGCTTTTGTGGTGGTGAGGGTCCTTGTCTCTCTGCTGGCACTTATGGATTTTCATATTATCAAATGATAACATTTAGGCCTCTGCTCTTAGGTTCCATTTCAAACGCGAGGTCTTAGTGACATTAAGAGTTCAAAATCATTCGGAGGTTCATTTGTTACAACGAACGAAACCCAAAAAAATGTCTGTGAAACCGAGACAGGAATTAGGAAGTGAGTATCTTTGCTAATTGGCACCTGCAGTGTCTGCCTGTGAGCCTCGCTGTCACATCTCCATATGCTGTTTTCTCTCCACCAAATGAATGCAACTGCCTCTCCGTTCACTCCGTGTTCACTCCACATCACCGAGGACACCGTAGACTGTATACGGTTCCAGCTGTAGCATGAAAGTGTAGGTGGTGGATTTTGAAAATGACCACAGTGGGATTCTCTTTCTCGGTACATTACTCATCCTGTAAAAGTGGAACTCCGTGAGTCTTCAGGGACATTAGAAAGCAAATCATCGTCCCTTCGGAGAACCACCGTGACATGAGGTAAATGCTGCCTGGGCAAAGAGACTTAAAGTAAAGAAAAAGAAAAAAAACCAGGCTAGAGGCCGATGGTGACCTGATAGTGGCTGAGATGCTCGTGTTCCAAACCCAACCAGCTTATATTTAATGCACAGAATGAATCTATGCCTGATTAGCTATGATGGAAAATCACTAATCCATTAAATACAAATGCTTAGCACTGTTCTTATAGGCAGCTGTGTAAGGCTGCCAAATCACCAAGAGGTCAAAGTGGCTCCCTTTAATTGTCTGTTATTAACGTCCATTACAATAACTCAAAAAGTCCCTTCAAGAAGAGAGGAGAGTGGGAAAAAAAGGCCAAACCTTCCTGCAGCCACAGCAGGCTGAAGAAAACACACCGAAGAGTTGACACTTTACACAGCTCATGCCGACCGAGACACATTTTTTGGGTCACTCACCTGTAGTTTCTACTATTCCTTCAAGTATCACCACAATTTCAAACTGCTCAGTTTGCATGGACCTCAAGGAGAGGTCGTAGAAGGGGCTTTTGGTGTCAATCACATGACAGATGGTGAGGGGGGAGACGAGGAAGAGCTGGTCTGCACCGGTGCTGAAACCGACGTCCAACTCCAGCTGATCCAGAGGAAGAAACTCCCCCTCAGGTGTCTGGCGGGACTGAGAGAATGTAGAGAAAGAGACAGAAATGTTTGACTTCTGTGGAAGGAGGACACGATTGTTTTATACACGAGGAGGACATTCAGACCTGGGACTGACCGCTGAGGGGGTCACAGACCTTCTCCTCTGTTTTATGCAGGTAATATGTTTAATGTTCTTAAAGTAAAATGTATTATAACATGTTCTGAAAAGTAAATGGAATTTAAACGTATTTTTTGGTTATTAATCGTTTATAAAATTGACTTGAAAACAGTGAAAAGAGTGAGTATTTAATTAAACTGTGAATCTAACAAAGACAACTTTTATGACATTTCATTTAATTTAACATTTAATTATTTACATCAGCATTAAATCATCATTTATAGCCATGAACAGTTAAGAAAGATTAAAGTTAAATAAAAGCAAAATTATACTTGCTTTATTAAAAAAATAATCTATGGTATATTTTTGTGCGTGATTAGGATACGGTTGTGCTACAGTTATTCCAGGTGTGGTCGCAGTATAAAAAGTTTCGTCACGTCCAGGTGACGACCCTTCTGAGGGTCACATGACCTGGGATATAAATATTACCCTGACAGTAATTGATGGGGACGTGGCTTTGACTGGAGTTTTCTGTGGGATATTTCAAATCAAAACGTTTGAGTTTTTCCTGGATTATCCTTGAACCCTCCTGGAGGAAACTCTCTCACCTCCAGTGCTGTTGCCTACAGCGATACTTTTAGGTCATAATGACTGGGACACTTCACAGACAGGGCAGCCTGTGGGTTTGCAGTGAGAGGATCAGGTTTTCCTTTTTTTTTCTTTTTTTTTTTTTGGTTTTCTTTTTCAGACAAGTCGATATTCTGACCCTGGTGAAAAAAGCCACTGGACTTTCTGAGTAACCTAGAATCGAAGGTGTCTGGAAAAAAAAAAAGTCGATATTCTGACCTGAACTTCACACACAATATCTGTGACACCAAGCATTTGAAGCTTTCAGTGATGGATGTGGAGCTCCGACTTTGTTTCAGGAGTGAGATGATCAAATTATGAGCAGTTCTTCAAATGTCTGACATTTGAGAATTGAGGTCTGACATTTTTCCGTGCTCGAAATTAGGAACGAATAACACTTTGAGCTGAAATGACTTTTGGAATAAACTGGATTATTATTGATCTTTTGAGGAGTTATCACGTTTCTAAGGCTACACTAAATTGATCTTAAGCACTTAGAATGAACGTGAGAGAAAAAAACACCAACCAGTGAAGCCCAGGGGAAAGATTGTTGGTTTTGTGTGTAAATCTGTGAATTAGAGAGCTTTTTTTTCTCTTAAATTAAGTCACGAGTTTACTGTGGTGAGAGTTGGTTTGCTGTAATTTTGATGATGTCAATATTCAAATTACAGGAAAAAGATGATGGAAGCAGCATCACGGACTGGAAGCCTGAGTGTTAAATCAAGCTGCACATGGACAGACAGCAAATCAGGTCAAATTATATAAAAGTGACGTGGATGTTCTCTCTAAGAACACCTGCACAAAACCCCTGAAACCAACCAGGAAAAATAATAATAATTCGCTTCCCACTTTGGGCCAGTCTTCCAACAGCAGGTGTCTTTCAACGTGACTGAGTGTAGGCCTGTACTGTATCAGTCAATCATCACACGGATGACTGGGATTCAGGGAGAAAAAGGGAAAACAGGACGTGTACCAATCCGAACATTTGTCAACACTTACTTTGAGCAGTTTGCAGCGGATCTGTGCAGAGACCATATGGCTGTTACGCAGGTTGCCCACCCTGAACATGAGAGTTAGTTTTCCATCCCGCATGGAAATCGCCGCATGTTCACTGAACATCAGCGTCTCTGCCCTCTTCTTGGGCTGAGACATCTTGATGAACATGCAGCCGATCAAAAAGGCATCGACGATCGACCCGAGGATCGACTGGAACAGGAAGAGGATGATGCCCTCGGGGCATTTGTCCGTGATGTACCGGTAGCCGTACCCGATGGTCGCCTCGGTCTCTATGAAGAAGAGGAAGGCTGAGGGAAAGTTGTAGACGTTGGCCACACATGGAGTGTACTTGTCATTGTGGGCTCTGTTGAGGTCTCCCCTGATGTAGGCGATGCACCACCACATGGAGGCCATGAAGAGCCAAGCCACCGTGTAGGTGAGGATGAAAATAAACAGATTCCAGCGCCATTTCAAGTCTACGAGTGTGGTGAACAAGTCTGAGAGGTACCTGCTGGTCTCACCGCCCAGGTTCCCATGCTGGACGTTACATCGCCCGTTCTTATCCACGAACCGCTGCCTCTTCCTCTTTTTCTCCGGGGGAGGCTGGTTGAACCCAGAGCCGCTGGATGAGGTGGTCACTACCTGATAATCGTCCCCAAATTTCTTTCGAAGTGCAGACATACTACGATGACAGCAGCGAAAGAAATCACCAAGGATTCTGTGAAATTAAAAAGAAAGTAAAGTCCGCGCTGTTGTAGTTGCTGCAGTGGTTAAGAAAAGCCTGTGCGCAATGGCTCCTGACGGGGGGACAGAAGGCGATAAAAGTGCGCTGTTTTCTCCTCGGCTAGTCTTGCATCGTCCCTTTTCGCCACACACCGTCGTCGCTACACTCTACAGCCATGAAACGTCAACAATGTGCCAGCACTTTTAGCCAAATGAATCCATACGCGACGCACCAGACGAGGCAGCCTATCCAAACGCGCCAGCCGCGGTCCAGGTTTTCAGGTTGGGTTCAGACGCTGCGACGCGGATTACTCACCGGCCGTGAAGGAGCCGAGCAGCTCGAAACTGTATTTACACAATAAGTTCTCCGTGGAAAGTTCCCCAGTCCCTCAGCGCTCCATTAAACACCAATGTCTCTGCGTAATTACTCTGTGGAAACGGCTTCCAAGATGAAACGCCTCTGTGCGCACTCGAAGCTGAGATCAATCTCTTCCCATTCCCGCCGCTGTGATGGGTGTACACACGAGACCACCTGCATCCGAGCATGTGACTGGAACAACCGTCGAGCAGGACGAAGACGATCACTGTCCCAACGTCGTCATTTTTGGCTGCGCGCATCGACTCTGCTTCCAGAGCTGTGTTCCTCTTCCGGCACCGCTCTCTCTCTCTCTGTTTCTCTCTGCCTCTCTCTGTCAGAGATGTGTGCAGTGGTTGGTCTTGGTCCAGTGGTAGAGACCCAGCGAATGCTCTGCCGACTGCTCAAATCCTCCCTTTTCTCTGGTTTCCCTGTGCGACTCCTGCGCATTTCCACGCTTCCAGTGATGCACCCACTGTAGCTCAGTGCCGCCTGACAAAGACAGACAGCTCGGGGGCGGGGGCAGGGAGTTAGCCTGGTTTGACTATTTTTTTTTTTCTTTTCCAAATGTTCCAAATGCACGGGACTGTAGCCAGGGTGTCATCATGGCCACGGACGCCACACATTTTCATTTAAATGAAACCACTAAAGAGTGGTTGATAAACTGGAATGACGTAACTGTAGTGAAAACAACAACTGTATCTTTGTTCTGCAGCACGGACACAGCCAACAGACCGAACTGCAGAATGGGAGAATGTAATACAAATATTGGAGTAATACTACACAAAATTACTGAGTTTCATGTATTGTTTAAATTCGTTTGTTCTGGAGAACAACACTTACACCATAGAAGGACGTTTAAAAGGCCACTAGGGGTGTATGCTGGTGTGTACAACACTGCCCCCTGTTTGTTTTTTCTCTTTTTACTTCCTCTTTGCATTCGGGTTCTCCAGGTGTTTCTGTGTAGGAGAACTTACGTCGACTGTAGAGGGCAGTAATGAAACTATAAGGATGCCATTGGTTAAGCTGGAGAAATGGTCAGGATGAAATTAAAAAACACATTTTTAACAAGAATTGGGATTTATATAATTAAGGTAAAAGTGTTTCCTGGTATGGTAAACCAAGTATTTCACATTTCTGCAAATATATCTATAAATATATATGTGTAAATATTTAAAAAATATATATATTTTACCTTCATCTCACACAGCTTCCTGTTGGCATCTACAAAAACATCCCCTGCAGTCAAAGTCTTTAGGATCTCAGTACCCTCCTCTGATTGGCATTTGGCATCCGTCAGTGTCGCGCAGTGTTTTCCTCTGATTGGCATCCGTCAGTGTCGCGCAGTGTTAACTGTGAAATATATTTTTGGTTTTATGTGACAGGTTCTATAAACAGCTACTTAGTGAGGACACAACAAAAAACATCTTGAACAAAACAACTTGGCAAGTGGACTGGGACTTTATGAGCCACATTTTACACCAAATGTCCTTTAAAATGGAGTCAAAACACAGTATTCAAAACAACGATTGGTCCAATCTGACCTTGGTCTCCATGCCTTTGCTGTAGTTCATCATGAATTTTTTCTTCCTGGGTCCAGATCCAGGACTCCCATCCAGAAGACAAAGACACGTTCCTGTTCTTTCCTGGAACTCTTGGATCTATCAACTCCAGATAAACAAACTCCACGATTTACAATTAGTCCAATCCAGTCAAGCAGGGACAGCTCTCCTGGCATTCACCTCAACCTCAACATCTGACATCTGACTACCAGGGAGGAGTGTGATTCATCTCTCCACAGAACACGTTTAACACGATCCAGAGGCAGTGAGCTTAACAGCACTCTATTTAACACCTGGCATTGTGCTTGGTGATGTAAGGCTCGCAGCTGTTCGACCAGGGACACAAAGCCGCAGAGCTTCAGGTGAAGAGTTTTTACCGATGTTACAACTAGAGGTACAGATTTTGAAGTGGTGATGGGATGACGCTAAAAAACAAAATACTGGTTCGTTGTTAAAGGAATGATGACTAATCCTGATTAATCATGATCGATTGAGATGGAATATATATCCTTAATTTTTAAGAGAACGCCCCACGGATCGATCCATCCATCCATCTATCATCCATCTATCTATCTATATGACCACAGATAATCCACAGCTATCCAGTGATTAATCATGACCACAGTTAATCCACAGCTATCCAGTGATTAATCAGACTTTCTTAATGAATCTTTTCCATCTTGTTTTTTTCTTTGCTCCAGTAGTAGAAAATAAAACCATAGATTTGACCCCTGTTCTTCCTCCAGAGTGGATCATCTACCGTCATCTCACCCCAACCTCACTCTCAGACCCCTCGTGTTTATCTCCTCCTTCAAGACGGCTGTAAATCTTCTCCCGGTTCTTCCAACACTATCTGTCCACAGCACAGGTCCACGCTCCATCTTGCCTCTTAAGCTTATCTCCAAACTGCTCAATCTTTGCTGCTCCTCTGACCTTGTCATCTCTAATCCCGGCTGGTCGTTCCCACTGAAATCCTCAACATTGTCACCTGGGAAACCTTCAGCTTGGCCTAGTTATATAACAGAAAAATACTGAACGTTGAAATTGGAGGATTTAACCCACTTGGTAAACTGTATGTTATCTCTAGAAGTCATGACATTTTAATTGTGTGATTTTTTTTTTCTTAACAGTCCAGCTGGGGTTTCCCCTGTGCTGTACGTGCAGTGGGCAGTTACAAACGCACCTTGTTTCCCGTGGGTCACCTTCACTAACAGCCTCTGATGAGTCCTTCTGTCATCAGAGGTGACAGCACCGGCTTATGCGCAGAACTTTCCTGGATGATAATGGGACCTGCATGAAAAGCTGCTGACACACACACACACACAGATCACAGGGGGACCAAATGCTGCAACTCAGAATTTACTCATCATATTAAAGCCACTGTAGAATACACCCACACCCTCAGTCACACAGACTCTGAAAACTCACACCAGGCAGAAAAAAAAAACATTATTTTTACCAGGCGCTTCTCATCTTAACTTATTATTGATCCCTGAGTCATCTTCTTCATCTTCATCTTCTTCTTCATCTTCTTCTTCTTAAGTTTGGTGCCTAGGGAGTTAAACTGTGTCGATGGTAATATCTGTGTAACTCAAAAAGACAGCCGTTCAAACTATAGTCGAGTTCTGATCAAGTTGGTGAATCCATATTGTAGCGGTTAGCACAGGCATGGGCAACCTAAGGCCCGGGGACCGAATGCGGCCCGTTCAGCTTTTTGATGCGGCACGCCAAACCTTTCCGAATTATATAATTCATTTATATTATCATTATACTTCTGCTTTTTCCCTGCAATACCCATGTTTCCCCATAGATGGTGTTAAAAAATAATAAAAGCATTTTAGCATTTATGCATGACGTTTACATGTCACTTATCTTAGCTGACATGAACACTCCATCTATCTGCCCCTGGGCCCACGCCTGGGTTAGCACATCTGCACACAGTCCCTAATGGCACATACCCCAAATGGCGCCTCCTGTGTGGCAGCCTGTGAGTTGCAACCTCGCACTTAATGGTGCCCCCAATGGCAGTTGCAAAGAATTTACCTAACCTGGTACATTAAAGGGCCTCGACTATTACTATCCGTATAAACACGTACAAAATATACATCCTGAGTAGAACCTATTAGATATATATTTATATGTATTTTTATCGTAATAATTTGCTCTTTTTCAAGCTAACGCTGCAGCATGATATTGTTGTAGGTTGTTTTTCTGAGCTCACTCATCAGTATGTTGGTAAGTCGGTCTGGTTCCAGTCAGGATCCACCTGTCCTGTCATCCTGTCTCTCACTGTGGTTCACCACATTCTATTCTACATCAGGTCTCAGCCCAGAACACAGACCAACAGACAAACAGTAGCTCTGAGGCCTGGCATTCATGTTGTTGTTGTTGTTTTTTTGTTTTCAAATGAGTGATGCACGACAGCACACACACACACACACACACACACACACTGCAGGTTGGTGTTAGTGGTGTCTCAGTGTTGACTGTAAGGATGAGTGAATCATTCCTCCTGAGGACGCTGAACTCAAAAACATTTCTCCGTCAGTCACCAGGCCGTGGTAATTGCCAGGTGAACATTAGCCTTGGCTCCTGCGGGAATCTGCTTTTATAATGAGTGCACGGGGCCACAGGTCAACCACCATGCATTCCAGCCCTCATTAGTAGGAAAAGGCTATTCACATATTTGCGGAGGAAAAATAAGACTATTAGTTTGACCGGACAACAGACAGCCAGCTGGCACCAGGAGCTGGAAGTCTTTTAATTGCTGTGTTTCGATGACGTTCTCAATGAAACCAAAGTTTCATTTCCACAACTCTTCACTGTTTTACTGTGTCTCACCCTCAGAGAGAGAGAGAGAGAAAAAAAGGCAATTAGCTCACGTCACTGTCTGCTGGAATCATAACGACTAAAAACACCTGGATGCAGTTCAAACTTCATGCAAAAATAATTAGCACAGAATAAGAAACAGAATCTTGGCAATAATCTTCTTATTGATACGGTTTGATGGAATCTGCAAATAATAACCAGATAATCTCAGA